TTTTCTGATTCCACTGCATTTCTGAAGGACTGCTGAAGAAAGACTCAACCAAATGGTTTTAATTAAACTTCTTGGTTGCCCCATGCTTTGGGCTATGTGTGCCTCCTGGGAGGCAGGGATTCACACAGAGGCCGGCAAACTCCCCTGCTGGCCTTCATGCCATGTGGTTGGGAGCTGTGGTGTCCTTAGCAGGCGGCAGGCTGCTTGGAGACGGGAAGGCGTGCTTCAGGTTAAAGGGAGGACAGCCTGCACTGCACCCAATTTATTCAAATGTCCTTTAATTTGACAGCCTCTCACCCCAGGGAACGCTCTGTGAGCCTGGCTGGGGCCACATAATAGCGGCAGTGTGGAGCTCAACAGGCAGGAGGGAGGTCAACATAAACAAGAGGATGTGTGTCTTAGGGGGAGGAATATTTTCTTGACGGATTAGGTAGGAGGCAGGAGTTACACAGCAAGCTGCCAATTACCAGGGATGGGACCCGGAGCAGTTAACTGCTGCTCAGGGTAGTGACACCCTGATAAAGACATTTTAAGAAAGGAGCAAGTCTAGTTTCATTCCGCTGAGTTCCCTGTTAGCTTCCCTCCCGCTTTTATCCTCTCTTGGAACCGACCAACCTTCCTTGAGATTTAACTTATAAATGGGGACTCTGATGGAATCGATCTGTATTCGGGTTGACTCCTTCCTCAAAGGTTACTTAAGACTGGAAAACACTGCAAGCAATCATGTGCTTCCTTCTCTAACAGACAGCAGTCGCTGAATCCGAAAATGCAAATATATTGCTTCATTTTGAAGTAAAATGACTTTGGAAACCCAGAGGTTTAGTGATGTTACTAAACCATCCTCACATTTACTAATAGTAATTAATAAATGTGTTAGTGAAATTTTTACTTTATTATGTTTTTCATAGTTTTTCTGTGCCTAACACAATTACAAGTCATTTCTTGGCCAATCTGAGTAAAAATTAACCATTGGCCCTGAATGATTGTGCAGAAGTTAGGAGAAGATTCTGGTGAGAAAGTGGAATCCAGTGAAATAAAATATAAGACTGGGAAAACTGGATTTGGAGAAGCTCAGAGGCACATTTCCTGGTTGGTTGGTTTCATGGGTTCATTGCAGCTTTGAGTTCAGTTCCCTTCAAATAGAGTTCTTTAATTAAAAATGACAAAACTGGGTGGGGATTGGAGAGGAGCAATGGCCATGGGTCCAGACGGGGGTGGGGAAGACTTCATCAGCATACAGAGTGATATAGTCATTTGATGTCACAATGTTAGGGGAATGCGGGGACAAGTAGCTAGAATACATTAACCTTCCCAGTGTCATACAAAGTGGGAACTTATTGAATGTTTTGGATGATTTTATGGTGCAAGCAATTGCAGGCCTGGTTTCTTACAAGTGCAGTCTTGTGCACAGAGATATTTGTGGGTTAAGAATGCAGGGCTACCAGTTTTCAGAGGTGGTTTTTAAGTCCTGTAGTTAAAACAACAACAACAACAACAACAACAACTTGATTGTTTCCCAAACAGAATCTCTCCAAGGTTATGTGCTATCTCTTGTGAAGGGATCCAGCTGGGCTTCCTGCTGGCCCATCAAGGAAACCAGTGAGAGGAAGGCTACTCTGGTCCTCCGCATTATCATCACTCACCCATAGACCCAACCAACTGTCCAAAGACAGGCAGTGGCTAGGGTGTCCTGAGAAGTGGGTCAGACCACATGTGGAAGAAGATGAGGGCTCAAGTGCAGGAGCCAGGGAGGGTGTGCCCTCTTACAGGTGATCTGAGTACATTCAGATGTCCGTGCTGCCAAGTGGGTGCATTTTCCAAGCTGAAATCACTGATGGTTATGGCAGTAATGAAGTAAAATGGCTTCGGAAACCCAGATGTGGTATTAGAAGGAAATATTGTGGGAAGATTATGACCAGGATCCACCAGCAGAGATTGAGCAGATTCTGGCGTTCATGTCAAACTGATATGTGGTCACCTTATGCTGATAAATGCTGATCACCTCAAACTGCATAGAAATAACATGGTACTCTGGCTACCATGTTTAAAGGGTTACAATGTAATATTCTTCTTCCAAAAAAAAATAAAAAGTTTAGACACAGATACTTCAGATCAGTTCTTCAGGTGATAAATTGAAATTGTGCTTAGAGTGGTTCACAATATTTACAAGGGAGGGACATTGGTGTTCTCATGCAGCAGGCAGAGTGGTAACACTGGTATCCTGTAAAGGACGGTGAGCAATTACATGCCAGCAAGTTGGATGGCCTAGAAGAGATTAATACATTCCTATAAGCATAAAACATAAAACCTACTAAAATGGGATTAAGAAGAAACAGGAAGCTTAAGTAGAGTAATAACAGAGATTGGATTACTCATCAGAAACCTCCTAACAAAGAAAAACCCATGACCGAATGTTCTTTAGAGGAGCTTCACCAAACATTCAAGGAATTGACAGAACTAATTTTAAATTTGTTCCAAAAAATATATATGCAAGGAGATATTATTTCCAAACTTAAATTTAGTAAAGCCAGCATCATGTTCAAATGAGACAATGATAACACACACACAAGTCTCAGATAAACACAAACATTCTGAACAAAATGCAAAATGCTAGAGAACAATTCAACAGCATATTGAAAAGACCATACACCATGAACAAGTAAGATATGATTCCCAGAAAGCAAGGATCATTCAGCGAAAGCAAATCAATTAATGTGATCTACAACAGATAGACAAATTATCATGATAATTTTAACAAGAGCAAAATTAAGCATTTGTTAAAGTTTGAAATTAAATCATGATTAAAATTCTCAACAAAATAGGTATGGTGGAAACTTATTTCAACATGATTAAATTATAAATTGAAAACTCACAACCAGTATTAGAATCAATGAAGAAAATTCCTCTAGGAATTGGTAGGCGGTGATGTCTACTCTTGTCACTACTATTGAACACAGAACTCTAAGTCCTAGCCAGACTAATCAGAAATAAATGTGTTCAAATCGAAGAGGAAAAGATAAAACCATCTGAGTTCTAATGAGTAAATCTGTAAGAATTAATCATCATAGTCATTAAAATCATTATATGCAAAACCAACACATTAAAAACCAGCTACATTTTTACATGTAAACAATGAACTATCTGAAAAGGAGGTGAAGAAAGTAAATCCTGTTAACAATAGCAAAGTAAAGAATAATTTATTTAGTAGGAAAACAATCTAAAAAACTAAAGACAATCTTCACAGCAAAGGAAACACTCAACAATGAACAGGTGAGAAAACTTGTACACTAAAAAGTCTAAAAACTATGATGAAGAAAATTAAAGCACAAATAAATTGAAAGTCACACAACCATGACTTGGAATTATTAATATTGTTTAAACACCTGTATTAACAAAGGGGTCTTTTGATCAAATGTAATTACTGCCAAATCCAATCTTATTATTTATGGAAATAAAAAAAATCCAAAATTAACATGGACCATAATTTACTCTTAATTGCCAAAGCTATCGTGAGCAAGAACAAACTTGAAGGCCTTACATTTCCTGACTTCAAAATATACAATAAGCCCATAGTAATGAAAGCTGTATAGTACTGGCATAAAAATTGACATGTACAATTATCATACAAAATTCAGAAGCCAAATTAGCATAGGAATCTATAGTCAACTGATCTTTGACGAGGGTGCCAAGAATACATGTTGAGGAAAAGATAGCTGCTTAACAAATGGTGTTGGAAAATAGGATTTTCACATGAGCATGTAATATTAATCAGATTGTGGCAATGTTTCATAATTTAGATGCATACCATAACATCGAGATACGTGCCTTAAATATATATACTTCAATCAATTATCTTTCAATAAAAACATAAAAAACCCATAAAAGCATTGCATGTCACATTATTTACTACTGCAGAGAGAAAAATATGTCAAATATATTTGAATCTAAACATTAAGAATCTAAAACATTAGGAGAATCATTGCACAGGAAAACATACTCTTAGAAATTTCATGAAGATGTTTATTTCATTTATTTGGGATGGTAGTCTTACATAATACAGTTTTGGGCTTAAACTTAATCACATGTAAGTAGTAATGGGAAGGATCTCCCATGCCAAGTGGCCTGCACATGTTTTGTTCATGTGTAGCACACCTATTGGCTGTTGTCTACAGACTTGGAGGAAAGGAGCTTGCATAATCTTAATCAGTCCTCATCTCTCATGTTTCACATGATGCACCTGCCAGAGGGTCAGGTGTGGAGGATGTAGCTCTGTCTTCAGAAGTCACAGCCAGTGGGACCAAACAGAACCCCTTGGTGATGGAGTGTGCCAGAGGAACCCTCACATAGCAGGGTCACGGATGCACTGGGCACTCAGGCTGTGTTGTGGGAACAAAAAAGCAAATTCCGGTTAGAAAGAGACTGGAAGCCATCGGAGATGTGGGCTTTGGTAGCCAATGAAAATGCAGGGCTAGAGATGCTGGGAGTGATTCCAGAGAAAAACTAGAAACTGTGCCTGTAAGGCCTAAGAACCAGAGAGCATGTGCTTCTTCCTCTGCTCACCACAGGTTTGCATGTATCTCATGGTACTTTGTATTTTTCAGGCCTATCTGAGGTACACATTGAGGGCCCATCAAGTACAGTGGACCAACCACCACGACAGTCATAAAGAGGTGCAGAGACAAAAACTCCTGGGACCCTCCTTCTCACAAGCTGGTTAGGTTGGTTGCTAAGCCTACCCAGACTCCTAAAATACAAGAAGACTTGCAGCTTCACATGGAAATATGAGGGCACTGAAAGTCTGTAGACAATCTGAAAGTTTATTTTGGTGTTGAGTATTTTAAACCTATGCAAAGAAGAGATTTTCAAAAAAGTTCATGGGAAAGTAGGCAGGAAGAATAAAATTTCTCTGGGTTTAAATATATTTTTTGCACCAAAAAAAGCTTATTTGTTTAGCCCATTGTCCACCATCATTCAGAAATAGCCTCTGATAAATCATAATTGGATGAAATGATGACAATCACCTTTGGGGACAGACCTGAAATGACAGAACACTAGTAGGTGATGACTTGGTTTATATATTATTGGCTCCCTGTGGCTTTTACCTTTCTTTCTCTCCTTCAGTGACTAGCAGAAAGGTGTTTCAAGGCTACATGCCAGTACCGTTATTCTTCTGATGCTATCTTAATTATTTATTAACTTAAAGGAAACTCAGTGGTTTCAATGATTTTTCAGTGTAGAGCATACCTAGTGCCTTTATGACATGAAGAATATTTACACTTCATGACTGTATAATTGGTTCACTGATTGAATGACTCCAGATGTTTCATGACAGTTATGTAGTTACAAAGATAGTCCCTGTGATGAAGTCTCCGGTGATGTTAACTTGTTTTGTTAAACCCAACATCATCTAATAAGGAGCTGCTTGTCTTCCATCTCCAAGTATTTTACTTGTACCTTATACCAGAGTTAAATCAAATGTGTATGTGAATCCAATCTCCCACTCCTGAACACACCATTCAACACGATCTTTCTGAGCCAAGCAGAAAAAATAAACAATGCGTATGCACCTTTTTTTTTTTACTCACTTGAGACAGCACAGACATTTAGCCATTCACATATCACTGAATTCATTTGGATCTTTGAACACTTGTGCTTCAAATTCCATCTGGCTCTGTAAAATAAATTGTCCAACTCAGTATAACTTTCAAAAAAGACAGGGCCATACAAAATGTGTTGTATGGTTCCTTAGTGTACAGAGAAAGAGAGCCGGGCGGGGGGTGGGGGGTGGGGGTGGTGGTGCATGGAGAATTGGCAACGGGAACTTCAGGAGTTCATGCATTTCTTACCCTAGATCTTATCTGGGGCTGCATAGATGAACAAGGCCACATACACACGCTTCAGGTCTCCAGGAGACCCAGCTGATTGGGGACAATGGCCAGAAACTGGGAGCCCAATTTAGTGCTCCTTAAGCTGTGGCAGCTCTCAGCACAGCTTCCTTAGGCAGGAGAAGACAGTTTGAAAGCTGGAATTGGGATTGGGGAATAAAGAAGAGGTGTGTTCCCATAGGGTAAGAACCCAAGAATGTTCGTGAGACTTGTTAACAGTAAGAGTTTATTGGTGAAGGTTTATTGGGGACGGTAGATCCAGGGGTGGGTAAGAAGATGGCAGTGTGGGTTTTAAAATTTGGAGAATTCTTTCAAAATACTTGACTGTGAGAAGGAAGCCATTAGCAGAAAAATTCAGTGTGGAATTAAGGTAAACTCATTTTCAGGTTTTAATTCTGGAGAATTCGTTCAAGACACTTAACTGTGAGAAGAAAGCCATTGACAGAAAAGAGCATTTCTTTCTCTCTTTTAGCTGTCTTTTCCATCTCTTATTTTCTCTCACCTGTTTATCTTTCAGACAGGACAATTTTGAAACTCTTAAAGTATGAACGGGAAGGTTTAACTAGAGAGAAGAGAAGTTCCAAGTGTTGGGTATATATGAAGAATGAAGGAGATCCTGAAGATATGGAAGGAGACATGTTTGGAATTCTCTATCAGGCACTCCATCCATCCACTCATTCATCCATTCTTCCTTCCTTCCTTCCATCCGTCCATCCATCCATCCATCCATCCATCCATCCATCCATCCATCCATTTACCTATACATCTACCACTAGACAATGACTCAAAGGATATAGGGGCAATCACTGAAATGAGGATCAAGCTATTAATCTCAGGGAGTTTACAAATATATCATGAGACAGAAAATAATATGTTTCAAGTAATGAACAGTACTGCAAAGAAGAAAGAATGCAAGGTTAGGGACAAGACGTGGTGGAGGCTTTGGGGAGGGACTCTGTGAGGAGGTGACATACTAAGGCATGTGAGGGTCTGGGGAAGGACTTCTGGACAGAGAAAACATTAAGCGCAAAGGCACAGAAGGAGGCAGGGCAAAATGGTTGGCCAAGATGCGCTGGCAGGCAAGAGAGAGAGAGAGTGGGAGATGTGACTGGGGAAAGAGGGGTCACTGTTTCGATTTCAGACCAACTCATAACATGTACTGTTGAAGCAAGAGGGCTGATGATCCAGACTAGATGACACAAGATGGCAGCCTGATGTAGTTTGTTGGCCAGTAGAAGTGTGGAGAAGAGGTTATATGTGAGGACGTATTTTGAGTGTATGGGTATATCATTTATTCAAATAGGGATGACTGGGGAAAGGGTATTAGAAAAGTGGACATATTCCATAGACAGCTGGAAAGAAAAACCATCCTAGTTATATTTACATACAAATCATTGCACCTGCTTAAAGACCTCCAATGAAACCTTAACAGCTTCAGGACAAAAGCCAAGTTCCAAGTTCACAGGACTTGGTCCTTTGGGACACATATAACTCATCACCAGCTGCATCCCACACAGCACGCCCTCCCAACACGAACTTACTTGCAATTCCTTCTTGCTTGCTCTCTTTCTTCTTGCCTCTCTCCCTTTTTGTATATCTACCATTTTTTTTTTTTTTTTTTTTGCTGAGGTTATCCTTACCCATTTTGACCAGGCCATTTTGTCCTTTGAAACTCAGTTCTTCCAATAAGCCTTTCATGTCCTACCAACAATCCCAGACAGCTGGTTTAAATGCCCATTTTCTCCATTATCACAACCCCAGTGCATATATCTCAGTGGAGTCAGCACCATGGCGTCCTGGACCTTGTCCATTAGTAAGTGAACTCTGACAAGCCACCTGAGTTCTCTGAGCCTCCATCTCCTCATATGAGAAATACCGATACTAAGAGTATTTGCTTTAAGGGTTTTTAAAAGGAATAAATGAGATGCTATATGCAGAGTGTTTATGATACTGTCTGGCACACAGGAAGCACTATAAAAGTCATAAATATGATTATAATAGCACTTATCACACTGTTGTGTAATTGTTTTTATGCTGCATTTTCCCAGGAAAATATGAGCCGTTGAAGGATAGTCATTGAGTCTTTCATCTGTGCTTCTGGCACACACTAACCCTCATTAATTGTATCTAACCTAAATGAATGTTCACGTTAACAGCACTGGGCTACAGAAAGTGCTATGAAATAAACCAGCAGGTTCCTCTTGGGCAGGCTTCATCATCCACCACTCATCAATTCAAGAATTTCTGGGTAAAGGTAAGCGTTTGGTGAAGCAGTTAACATGCTACTTGGGGTGTTCACATTGCAAAGAGAAAGACTGAAGTTTGAGTCTTGCTCTCCCCATTCTACATTCCTGCTGCTGCACATCCTGGAAGGCAGTAGTTAAAGTTCTTGAGTTACTGATACCCATGTGAAAAATATGGCTTAGTTGTGGACTCGTAGTTTTGGTTTTGCCCATCCTTGGCTGTTGCAGGCATTTTGGGAGTGAACCAGCAAATGGGAGATCTCTGTGTTTCACATAAAATAGACAGACATTTACCAAATGAAATAAAATGTCCCAGGTGGTGTATTCTAGGTCACAGGGTGGGTATTTCTCAGATAAACTGATACCTTTGGATCAGGTAAACATGGTCCAAAAGCTTCTAGAAGAAGGGTTTCTTCTCGCACAGCCTGTTCATAGTCAGCAAAAGACAGCTTCCCGTCGTGATCTTGGTCCTAGGGCCAGAGAGGGGTGAGAGGGGAGACCAGCAAGCTGTCAGCAACCATGTAAATACTTAGCACAACACATACTAATTTCATTGTCAAGTGCTAATAGGAGAAGAGTACTAGAAAACTAAAAGAACAGATAGTGAAATGGAAAAGAACTAGAGAGCCCAATTCAAGTGTTTTTACTTAACTAAACAAGCAACTAAGAGCTATAATTTGAATTCTTATTTCTATTTCCTGTCTGGTCTATAAAATTCCACATTATGCAGAATTACCATTTTCTTAAGTGTTGTTTCCACCAAGTCTTTAATTCCTTCATCGGGATCTTCCTCGGAAGGCTGTTTGAGAAGGCTATTCTTGAGCAGGTGAAACATCTCCTCCTTTGAAATGAAACCGTCTCCATTCAAGTCAAACACTTCAAAGCAATCTTAAAAACACAAAAGGGTGAGTGTTTGGTACAAAGGTTAAGATGCTGCGTGGAACATCAGCAGTCCATATTAGAGTGCTAAGTTCAAGTCCTGGCTCCACTCCCAATTCTAGCTTCATGCTAATGCGGACCCAGGGAGGCAGCAGGTGACGGTGCAAATATTTGGATCCTTGCCATCCTAGACTGGGAAGTGGCTGTTGTGAGCATATGGGGAGTGAAGCAGTATGAGGGAGATCATTCTTTTTCTCTCAGTGCCTTTCAAGTAAGTCAATAAACAAACAAATAATGAATCTAATAGTATCATTAAGATAATATTTTCTTTGATAAATTTCTCAGGCTCAGGTGCATTTTGTTGATGTCTTCAGTAGCCTTGGTGAAATCTGATTTTCATAAAAATGCTAATATACGCTGACTGAGTACAATTCAAAAACTCTTACAAAAAGTTTCCTTACACTCATCTATGAAAAAGCGTACTGAAAAACAATTATTCAGACATTTTCATTTTGAAATTCTTGGAAAACTTACTGAAATATTCAGCATTCATTAGAATTAATCAAGAATCAGAGCACTTGAATTGATGCTCTGGGTTTACAGTTATAACTCATGCAATGTTAATATGTAAAACATCTTATATGTAAATGTATACACACATAATTAGCATATCTAGTAATCCATGTGGAGTTTTTTGCATAAGTTATCAGGGTTGCTTGGTTTTCCTTTTAATTAATTTATCACCTACCTTTTTTGAGTTGAATTCACTCCTTATAAGAAGGTAATAGGGGGACTGGAGCCAGCTGCTTGACTTCTGATCTAGCTCTCTGTTAATGTGCCTGGGAAAGCAGCAGAATACGGACTAAGTACCTGGGCCCCTGCATCCATGTGGAGAACCCAGAAAGAGCTTATGGCCCCTGGCTTCGGCGTGGCCCAGAGGTGAAACGATGGATGGAAGATGTTTCTCTCACTCTTTCTGTCTTTTCCTCTGTCTGTAAGGCTGTCTTTCAAACAGAAAATCTTTACAGAAAGAAGCTAATAGAGATTCCTGCAAACTGAAC